TATAGCTCTTATTGACATATATACTTGTTTTTTTATTTTATATTTTATTCAACCATTTAACAGCCAGCTTTAACTTTGTCGATTCCTAATCTACTAACTATAGATCCATAGTCGACCACTAGTTTTACATTCTATAGGTACAGGTGGGCTATACTTTGTCGAACTGTACATGCTGTTTCTATTATTTATTACTGCTAGTACTAACTGCAACCTCTATTTTCATTTCCTAGTTTTTTGACCACAGCTGTAATCGATTACAAGTCTTTAGCTTGTACCATTAACAAGTAAGATATATTTATCAATGTTGCAATGCCCTGCTGTTACTTTATTGCTGCCAGTATTGATCATTACACTATTAAACTAGTATGAACCAGGTAACGAAAATCGTAAAGTTGCAAGAAACCATCGATTCTTTTCTGCAAAGAGTGAGTGGAGGAAATTTTTAAATTGACATGCTCTTTATACATTGTATCGATTAAGCATGCTATGTGTCTCCAGAGGGCAACCCTGGACTAGTGCAGGCAGACCCATATCGATACAAGATAGTGCTTGCAAGTGTCAATGCAGCAACGATGTTGCCTCCAGTGGAAAACCCTGGACTAGCAGCATTTGTTGTGTCGATACTGGGGTAGAAATGGTGCAGCAAGGGTGCCTGTGCCTCCAGTGAGAAATCCTGGACTAGTGCAGGCAAGCTTGTTATCGAACACTGCTTGCAGGTGCCAGTTGATACCATGTGTTGCCAGTGGGAAACCCTGGGCCAGCATATAGAATTTTATCGACAACAGGCTATTTTTGGCTATCGATTTTTAATTTGCATTAGCAGGGTACTGCACATATTAAGTTAATTTTAAATATCTTAATTTAGAAATCTTTACTGCTACTCTCTATTTTCTTGTATCACAAAAAAATGATAACCCAATAAAATATGCTACATTTTTAAGTGAACTGATATCCCACTTGCTAAATATTCGCCTGGTCATTTCTGACCCTAACATCGATACTTATCTGAATATAAATATAATAAAAAATACTTGTATATATTTCAAGTTTATTAACAATAAAATATATCAGGTCGACTGGTGGAAGGATTTTAAGAGATTCTTGGTTTCTTGTAATAATAATTTGAAAAATACTGCTGCTGCTTTAAGAACTGACATTAACGATGCAAAAAAATCCAAACAAAAGGCCCATAAATAATTTGTAAGTTAAAATTTTTGCAATTTTTTTGTAATTATATTAACTTAACAAAATTACAGGTTAGGAAAAATTTATTGACTCAAAAGTATCTTAAGGAGGTACATGCAGTAAAAATGATATACCTTGACTCTTTCCCTGATTATGATAAAAAAAAATAAAAGGAAAGTAGATATTTGAAAAAATAAATCCCTTTTTTCTCATGTATCTGCAATCGATGCTACCTCTTGTCTTCTGATAATAATAAAAAAAAAAATGAAAAAATAATAGTTCATAATAGAGCCTCCAACAAGGTGATACTGGCTGTATACTGAAATCATATTGAACCTGATGTATTTGAACTCATAAGAAGCACAATTATTGACATGTTTGTTTTGTGTCGACAAGTTATCCAATTATTAGAAATCAAAGAATTGGATCAAGGTGCCTTAATAGCTGCAAGATATATATTTAACTGAACTTAAGTTTTTAATTTTTAAAATTTATTAATGTTAATGTTTGCAGGTATCTTTTCACAAGAGAAAGTGAAATATTTATCTATGTGCATAACATACCTGTTGAATTACGAGGATTTGAAAAGCAATATTTGTAAGAAGAGAAAGTTGTAGTGATAAATAGTTTTTTTTTCAATTATGCCATATATATATCTCCTGAAGATATAACCACAAGTATACAAAAAAAAAAATAGAAGAATACAATTTGTTCTGACTAGATGGCAACAAATATGGTGCTACTGATAAAGAAATTACAGTTTCTTTTGATAATAAAAAAATATATTTAAACTATCCTTTAGATCTATATGAGGCCTATGTAGCCTGGAGATACAGCAAGTTTGCTCACACTGATCTTAATTTTTTGAACTATGCAATTGCAACTAATTGTCTGAAAGAAATATGATCTGTTAATGATAAAGAATTTGCTTGCAGTGAAAAGAATTTTAATGGAGGCAACTTTTACATAGCTAAATGGGGAAATAAAGTTGAAATGACAGGTATTTTTTAAACATTACAAATTTTAAAATTTTATGTTATTAATGATTAAAATTGGTACAATTTTTTCTAGGAAATATTCTTTATTGTTGATCAGAAAATGAATTGCATGGTACTACAGTATTACCGATGGAAGGTATAACTTGTGGATTGTCCCAAAATTTGACCAAAAAAACAGTATCGGCTATAAAAAAATGGAGGGAAGGTAAAGAAAAAGCATATCGTATAGATTACTGATATAATCAATTATCGATGGATCAACATGCCTTGCAAGTACTTGAAATATCGATAATAAAAAATAAAGAAAAAAATGATATAGAAAATCAAGCTATTTTAGAGAGTACTGATTATAGAGAAGAGTACATTAATATAGAAGCAAGTGAATGACTATGGGTTGTATAAAAAAATTTATTTATATTTAATAAAAAAATTTTTTTAAATTTAAAGTTAAAAAATATTACTGAAAGGAAATATACTAGTTAAAAATTTTTTTATTAAAATAAAGCCAGATTAATTTAAACATATTTAATTTAATTTGGTTAAATTAAAGTAGTTATAGTGGAACATGCTTTGAGACAAATTCAAAATATACCAAATCGGTTTCAAGTTGTTTTTGCATCGAATCAGATTCTGATTCAAATTCAAATTCAGATCGGATTCAGATTCAAATCGGATCGAATCAAATTAAATTCAGATTCAAATGGATCGGATCAAACTGTTATAGTTTTGAATCAGATTGAATTAATTTAAAATGAATCAGATCCATATTTGATTCGTATTCATAAAAATCGGATAGGATCAAATCTAGTTAAAATCTGATCTGATTCAATCCGTTATGATCACTATTGTACACTATATATACTGTATGTAATTGAAAAATTTAATAAAGTTAAGTATAAATCCAATTAAAAAAAAAAAAAAAAATTTATAAAAAAATTTGAATTTGATGTTATAAAAATAAATTTTATGATTCAAGTTATACATTAGCAACTATTAAAAGTGATTGCAAGTCAATTATGATTTGGAAATATATAAATGAATATAATTTACTATATGCCATCTAGTTTATATCTTATTTCATATGAATAAAGAAGAATATAAAACCTTATGTTGGATATTATTTATTAAAGAATTTCAACTTCTGATAAAGAAATATTACAAGAAGATAACACATCAATTCACAAAATGTAATTTTGTGAAAAAATTAAAATCTGAGCTGTCCCATAGAATGGTTATTCCAATTGTCAGATCTTAGTCCAATTGAAAATGTGTGAAAGAAAGTTAAATTTTGGATTAGTAAGAATAGAAAACCACATAATGAATTTAATTTAGAAGAGGTGATTACTATGGCATGAATAATATCATATTTGATACAATTAGTAAATTTATAGATAGTATTCCTGAATGGGTAAAAGAAGTGATTAAAAAAAGGGTCATGCAACATGTTGGTAAATTTTTTTAAAAAATTGTGATCGATAATTTTTGGTCTTATAAAAATCGCCCTAATGCGGTGATACCCGTCTGTACTATATAAATTCTAGAGTACATTTATAAAGTAAGAAAAATCACTGTTCGCCTTCGAAAATAATTACCCATATACAGTATATCGAAAAAAACTATCTAAATTACTGTATCAGGTAATCAATAGGCTTTAAAATTATTTATATACACTACATTAAACAAATAACCAACTACACAAGACATTACAAGGTTTAGAATTCAATACACATTCTTTTCATACATCGGATCGATAAAAGCACGAAAATCAATTTCGAATGATGGATTTACAATTTTATATTTCAATTTTTGAAGCATTCTTTGAAATCAAAAGCTTCAGGAGAATTAAATATAAGTGGATAATAAATATTATTATAGAAAGTATCTAATGCGTATCTAATGTTAATAAGGATGATATCCCTGTCCGCTAGTGGGCGGGTAGTTATTATTGTTGTTAGGAGGTGGATAGGTGTTAGGGGGAGAATAAATGTTAGGATCATTGGGGGGTGGGTAAATATTGGGTGGATAAAAATTAGCATTGTTGGCGGGTGGATAAAAATTGGGATTACTCGTGGGTGGATAAAAATTAGGATTGCTAGTCGGTGGATAAAAATTAGGATTGCTAGTCGGTGGATAAACATTGTTGTTATTAGGTGGATAAGGCAATTGTTTGTACACGCCGCAATCACCTATTGAAGGGGGTGACGAAGTAGAATTATAATCCGGAACTGGTGGATATCCGTTAAATGGTGGATACCCTCCTACCGAAGGAACATGATTCGGTGTAGGAACTGGTACCGGAAATGACACTGTTCCTTGGGAAGATGTGGACAAAGGATTAACTTGCGAAACCGGTGGATATGGTGTTGAATTATTTTGCGGATAAGGTGCCGTCGTTTGCTATAGTATCGAAATAAGGTAATGAGTGTATCTTCTAAGGAGTTCACTTATAAAAAAAAGTTTTTAAATACTGCTTACCGATTGGGGTGCTGCATAATGTGGAAGTGGTGAGTTATGTAGAGGAGGAGATAAAACTCGTCCTGGGATATTGTCATTGGGAGGGTAGGCATTTGAAGGATAAGATGCTGGTGAAGATGTTGGTGCGTTGTTTGGTACAGAAGGTATATATTGATTGTTTGTGGGAGGATAACTGTACGGTGGAGTTTGGGTTCGAGGCGGAGCAACCGTCTGATTCATAGGAGGAACTTGTTGACGAATAGGTGCTGGAGGCGGTTCGGCCTGCGGATCAAAATGGAAAAATGAAAGAAGTTACAATATATTCACCAAATTTAATAATTTATGAGAACAGGGCTTACTGTGTTATAAAATGTCATCTCAAGGTAAACTTCACCGGCGGGCTTGTTACGAAATTTAATTTCGAACCAGTCTATTTACATTTGAAGAAATAGTTTCAGCAACAGAGCATATATAAAGATCGAAAGTGACTGGTGACATAAAACATTATCTACCATCCATTTCTCCTTTCTCCAATACCTCCTTCAATTCAATTGTTGTTTCACCAACAAGCTCATGCTCTCGTGCATCCTCATTGTATACTTGAACCTTCATTTTCTTATTGCTTAATTCGTCCGTAATTTGGAAACGCACTTCTTCATCCCAATTCGGATGTTGCCCACCCCGTTTATCTGCTTTAATTCTTCTAGATATATCTCCTATGCGAAAAGTAACAAAGGGATCGGCTTTACCAATCATTTCACGAGTGCTTAAGTTGCGCTACGTGAAAAAAAAAGTTTATGAAATGAATATAACACCTTTCTACTGTGATTTAAAAAGTATAACAATATACTTACTGCCTTGATGGCTATAACTACAAGTTCGCCTAATCTCTTGGACATTTCTTTAGGTAAGTAGTAAAATTGAATTGATTTTCGTCGCAGTCTCAGATTTTAAATTGTGATTTCATTGTGATTTCATTGTGCAACAAATAAAATGTATCATTTCTATTCAGGGTAAGGTTTGTTGATTTTTTTTCAATTCCAAATGACAGGATTTTTATTTATATGGTTTCTAGAAAATTCCTTGAATACGATTTCATACGAAAATTTAAGAAATTATTTCCTGATTAGAACAATTTCCTTAACCTTTTTTTTTTTAAAAAGTATAACTGATATGTTAATGATAGTAGTTATTAGAAAATTCGAAATTTTATTCAGCTATTTCTAAAATAGGGTAGTCGCATTTTTTTAATTTTCACCTTGGGCAAGCAAATTTTTACACGAAAGAAATAGAATTATGCTATGAAAGGAAATTAATGTAAATTCATTTTTTCCCACGATCCTTAATTGCCAAACCAATGACCCCACCATCTTCTATATTATAATAGGCTAAGGAAACTTGATTTTTCATTACTGCCCCTCCAATTGTAAGTTTTTGCTTTCCTGCCGGGAAATTTAATTGTGCAAAAATTTTATCCTTGACTGTTGAAACTAGAGTCGCAAGTGAAAGATTTTCAAGAATCAATATTTGCCCATGACAACTCCATTCCGGCTTCTCGGGAATTGTCGGACATTGAATATGTATACTTATTGGACCCTGAAAAATAACAAAATAAGTAAATATTAGATAAAACCTAAGCACAAACAATGGAAATTACTTGATGGGTTATCATCCACTCTTCTTCAGAAATCAAGATTCCCGTTGGGTCCATTTTGACACGTTTGTTCATCGCGAATGGATCCATTTCGTCTTCCATCGGTCGACCTAATTTAATCATTGTTTGCGATAAAATCATTTGTATTAGTAGATTCTATATACATATGAAGGCATAGTAACAAGACATTCAACAAATACCTGATAAAGGTGGCCGGTGAAACTGTTGAGGGATTGGCGGAATCGGACGAGCCTGCGAAGGTTGTGCAACTCCTGCATTTGTAATATAGCCTTGTAATTGATGTGCGAAAGGCACAGAAGACCCAACATAACCAGGATATGCTACTGGAGGCATTCCCGGAATGACCTGTGGATTATGTGTAGGGTAGCCTTGGAATATGGATTGTTGAGCAGGTGAAGCATGCTGCGGAAGCATGTGAGATTGTTGGTGTATGTGTGTATGGTGTTGCATTTGATGTTGATGTAGATGTGAATGCTGGTCTTGCGGTTGAGGTATCCTCGGACCAATTTTGGAATCACTGTCACTACACATTTCAAAAGATGTAAATTATATGAAGCTCTATCAACGAAAAAAAATAAACGGGAGACTATTTTTATACCTTGTCAACCCTTTACTTCTATGAATGGCTGCAATTTGCTCATCAATTGAAACACCAGCCGCTGCTCGCTGAGTTGCCATATTTATAGAGGCCGTATGACCATCCCACACGACCTTTTCCTTTTCAATTCGCTTCTTCTTTTCCTCCTCTTCTCCGATCTGTCATAATATAAAGCAATAATGTTAAATTATTTCATAACGAGTGACGAACCCCAAAAATATACTTACTTTACGCCCGATTTCAGTTTCCTCATTTCCGAAAATGTCAGAACGATAACCAGAAAATGCTTTGAGATTTTTGGCAACGTCTGTTCCTACAATTTTTCATTATCAAATATGAGTTAGACGTTTTTTTTTCCAGAAGCAATTTTTTTAGAGAATATATATATATATATAAAATAAAAAATATATTTAAAACCTTCTTGAAGCAAGTTTGATTCTTTCTTCTTTGCTTCCGCGGCCATCTTTTGCTCCTTCCACTTAGGATCCAACAACTCAATACGAACGTGATCATCCATCTCATCAACAGGAATAGCTTGTTTACATCTAGGACAAATAAGGGTGGGCTTCTCGGTAATGGTTTTTGGTGCATAAGCTGATTTTTTGTTTGTGAAAATAGATGTTGATAAACCACTATGTGAGAATGATACTGAGGAATAAAAATTATTTGTACCTTTCGGTGTATAATCTTTAACGATTTTCATTGGAGCAGAGGCATCAGGAGGCTTGATTTCTGTTACTATAAGAGTAGCATCATGGTCTTGATCTTCGTCCTCCGCCGCATCTTGATCATCGTCTTCCTCCTCCATGTCAACATCATCGTCCATCTTTACGTATAGTATTGTTATTGTTAATTATATTAGCCCTTCAATAAATTAACAATATTATGTATCATACCTCCATATCGATTTCTGCAGCTTTATCTTCTTGAGTTTCCGCCATGCTAACAGACGCCATTTTCTTTTGTGCAAGCGTCATGTTCTCCAACTCTATGATACTCATTGGTGGAGGGAGATCAATGGTTTCATCTGCTTCGGTGAACTCCACAGTTTCCACTATAACAAAGTCGTGCCAGTCGATTGAAGCATACGCGACTATAAAAAGAATAAAAAGGAATAAGAATTTATCCGCGCATATCAATATTCAAACTAACGTACTTCTTTCCTGGTCCTCCTTTTCTTCTGCTTTTTTCCTTTCCTCTTCTTGGTAAGCGGCATACTCGACACGTTGCATCACACGTTCCAATATCTGATACTTATTTTCAACATTGGATTTTAATTTATCGTTTAAATTTTTCGGAGGAACCAACACTTTAGCATATTGTTCGACCAACTTTGTGAAGTAATTACATAAGCTATGATTAGGCCTAAGGAAATCGAATTGGTAATTTCGTTGTTCACGTTGAGATAAGGCGGTCATAAATTGCCGTCCATTGCGTGCTACGAATTGAGCTGTCAATTTTAAAATGTCGCTGTAATTAAGAACCAGTTTAGTCTCCTTTTATTAATTTAGGCTTTTTTAATAAAGAAAATGGAATAATAATATTACAGATCTTGCGCCGATATTGCTGGCATATCACTCATGAACTCGAATGACGGAGGTTCTTTTGGGGGAGCTTTAGGTGGTGGCCCTTCATTTTTGACCTCTACTTTCATTTCCTTTGGCTCCGTTTTTTTAAAAACTAGAAATGTTCGACAGATCAATATCTAGTATAACCAAATGTGATTTAGATCATACGGTCACATACTTTTTCCCTCCTTTGTTTCAGCAATTTTGTACTGGTAATAAGCATGGTAAGGATCATTCGGATTCAGAAAACTGAATTTAGCATTGTGTTTCTCGTTTTCTCGGATGCGTTCTTCAAATTGCACGCCGTTTCTCGCAACAAAGACAGCCGTTTTGTCGACAATATCTAAAAACGATCAGGGTTAAGGAAATAAAAAGTACGGTTTTGATTTCAGCTCAGCTAAGGTCCAACGTAGCTGAAGCTTTAATATAATATCAATGAAAGACTAGCATAGATAGGTGCGAGTTTTTTCGGTAAATTTAATAAAAAAAAATATGGCGAGGATACTTCTAATATCCGGAGGCGGATAGATAATGCCTACAAGTGGTCTAACATCTTCTTCATTGATTACAGGCCTGACACTAGTCGCGTTAGTTGTGTCAGCAGGAAGAGAATAGGCATTTAATGAACCTTCGGTTTGCAACATAGAAACCATCATAGTTCCAATAGTGAAGCAGAAGTTTGGGATGTCAACAATTATATACTGCAGTAAAAATATATGTGTGACGTCATCGATTATTGCGTCAAAATTTATTATAGAATACTTTGTCCTACACTTTAAAATGTTCGTAATCTTTTTTTTTTTAAAAAAGAAAAAAAAACGTAACCGACACTCCTTTGCAAAATTTATTTTCATGGAATTCCGCAATCAACATTTACGCCACTAATTCTTGCTACTCGAAGCTTCCGTTTTTTTCATTTTTTCTGCACGTTCCTTTTTCCTTTTAATCATTTCTTTCTTAGCGTATTCTATACGCCCCTGCAATTCACCACGTTCAGCGAGGATGCGAACAATATTGTATATAAATGGAACGAAATTATGCCTGCGTAAGGAATTTTCGCGCTGTTGGATTGATCATAAATTTTAATAATAAAGCGACGTCAAAAAATCTTAATAACAACTAAAAAAGGAAATACATTGACGTGCCTCATATTTTCTAAATTTTTCCCTTTCTAATTCAATCTTTTGCAATAAGATGCTTCTTTCTTCGTTTAAACGCATCACAACCTCCGAATTTGCTTCCCGATTCGCGTAATCAACGTTTAAATCAATTTCGTTGATACGCGCTTGGTAAACATCTTCGCGATTCTTTATGAGTGCTAATAGATTGAATCGGATCTCGGCGGAAGCATAACGCGCCATACGTTCGTGTATTACTGGGCGAACTTTTTCCAGCCAGTCATCTTCAGTGCAGGGACCTGCAATAAGTTGCAAGTAATATATGGATCGTTGGAAACGTGATAGATAATTAATTCATCGTCTATAAATCATGCATTACCCAAATTAACCGGTCCTTCACTCAATCCATCGAGCTCATAAAGCGCACCATGAACCGGAACATATGAGATAAAATGAAAGATATCTTCTTTTTCGGATGAGGATACATCAGTTTGATCCATGAAAAAAGGATCAGAACGAGCAAAACTATTGTGAACCGAACGAATGAGAGTGCTGTTGGAGATTGTAAGACCTTTGTACTGTAAAAAGAGATCGATAATAAATTAGCAAACATTTATTTAGCATACAATGCAAATTTCATTCATTAATTTTTCAGACTTACATACGAATCGAAATCCTTGGTAAAGTCTCTAAAGTTTTCTAATTCTGTTCCAAGATTGATTGATGGACAATTCAACAAAATGGACAAGATGGCTTGAGTTGCGCACGCATTATTGATGACCTATTGAAGAAATCATCAATTTAACCATTCAATTTAAGTCATTGGCTACATTTATCAACCCAACCTGTTTTGCAAAGTAAACTCTGTTGTCAATGCTTAGATCCGCATCGGGGTGAAGCTTAGAGCTGTCATTTCCACCCTGCCATTTAAAAAGGAAAATTAAGCCGTAGACTGGCCTATAAATTAGATTAGAATATATAAAAATAATATTCGCATCAATTGAAAACCATTTTCCAAAAACATACTTTAGTTCATCCAATGTCTGATCGTCTAAACTCCAAACCTCTTCTACCTGGGTGCCTTCAACATTTAATCTTTTTATTAACTCGGTGAAAACACCTGTGGAATAAAATTCAAAGAGTGATTATCATACTGGAGAGAAGGACCAAATGTGAATGTTTTTTAGAAAATACCTGGATCGCTTTCGATAAGACACCACTGCCCAGCGTCTGACATAGCGACCGTTGGTAGATTGTATTCGCGAGCTTGAAACCTTTATAGTTCCGAATCACATGACATATCGATTACAGCTCAACTATTATTATATACAGTGGCCTCATAAAATAATGCGTCACCTATTTTTTTTTGGTCACATAATAATGATTTTTTTGTAATCTAGCAATACATTTTTTTAAAAAATAGATATTTTTATCTTAAGTTTAAGAAAAAAAAAAAAAGAAGAAATCAGAAATTTAGAGAATAAACCAAGGTCTGGTTATTCTTACTTAATCAATATAAATGAAAAATGGATTTTTTTTAATTCTTAACCATGCCATCAGACTTATTTTTTGAGAAGTTTATAAAACTAACATATAATATTATAGATTTTTATGGAAATGATTAACTTATCATTACAACTAATACTCTAAGTCAGGTTTATAAAACAATATTTTATTTTCTTAAATGATTAATATTAATTACTATTTTTTAAATTCATTATTATTAGTTTGTGATTATTGATGGATCTAAAAAATTATGAATTACTAAGTTAAAAAAAGAAAAAAGGAAATAATGAAAAGAAAAAGAAAAGATAATTTAAGATTCTTTAAAAAAACTAATTAAAAACAATAATTTTTTTTTAAAAAAATTAAATTTAATTGAAATATTTTTCTTATTTCAAATTAAATTTTTAAAAAAATCTTCTTTATAATTATCTAATAACATTTAGATAATTAATTTAACAAATCCATTTTTAAATAAATATTAAATTGAAATAGTTTGAAATAAAAATTTTAGTTTTATTTAATAAAACCTTTTTACTATTTAAAAAACTTAATAGAAATAAAAATTTAAAATTCATATTATTTATTTTATATTTTTTAATATTATTAATATTTTTTTAAAAAACTTATAATCTTGAAAAAAAAATTTTTAAATGTTTTTTTCTAATTATCACTAATACTATTGGATTATATAAATATAATTAATAGAAGTTTATTTATATTTTAAAATCAATATATTTCATATTGATCAATTATCTTTGATAAGAATTGTGTTATTTAAAATCCAAAATCAAATTGAAATAGACAAAATTTTTCAAAAAATCATAAAATAGAAGTTTTAAAAGAATATTTATAGTTAAAAGAAGAAGAAGACTATTTTTTTACTATATTTAATCTTTATATCAACTTATTTTAAAAATTAAAAAAACTATACAATCAATTTTTTTTTCTTTGAAAACTTTTTTACTATTAGTAATAAAGATGTTATTTGAATTTTCTTAATTATCAAGAGTTAAGTTTTTGAAAAAAGAAATTTATAAACAAAAATAAATAAATAAAAACAATTTTTAAAATCATGTTTCAAGTTATTTTAAAAAAAATATTAATATTTTATTAACAAAAAAGTAAAAAAACTTTTTATAAACATATTTTTTATATATAATCTATAGATTGATAAAAAAAGTTTATTGAATAAAAAATTATAAATATTCAATATTATTTAAGTATAAATAAATTTTTTAAATAATAATTTTTTTTTTTTTAAAAAAAACTTTTTATCAAGTTAAATATGTATCATTAATTGAAAAAAATTATTTAACATATTGTCATTTATATAATATTGTATATATAATTATCAACAAAAAACTCTTTTTGCTGATCCTCTGATCATATATAAAAAAGATGTTCGCAAAAAGTTTTTATACTTCTTTGCTAATAAAGTCTTAATACTTTAATTAAAACAATTTGAAGTATGACTTCAAGAGTCACCTCTATCCTTTCCCTTTTGTTTACAAACCTCTTCACTCAAAAACTTGACTTCT